CTCTCTCTCTCTCTCTCTCTCTCTCTCTCTCTCTCTCTCTCTCTCTCTTTCTCTCTCTCTCACTCACTCACTCTCTCCGTCCGACCATCCTCTCGTCTAAAAGGACTACGAATCCTGTGGGATACCGAATGCTTCTTCTTCTCTTCGTCTCTTGTTTCTCCCATTCGATTCTTCTCCTCGTTCGTTTAACACCGTTCGTTTTTCTTCTTCTTCTTCTTCTTCTTTCCCTCTCAAACCCCGCCACTTCTTCTTCTTCTTCTTCTTCTTCTTCTTCTTCTTCTTCTTCTTCCTCTTCTTCCTCCTCTTCGATCCTCCTCTTGCTCGCCGATCGAGGGAAGGAAAAGAGGACGAGGAGAGTTGCGCATGGCACAGGAATCCTTGCGCGTTTCGTATCCTCAACGTTGTCCTTACACGCGAAACTTTATCCGAAGAGATTTTTCGGAACTCTACCGCTTTTTTTCGATGGAATTTTCGTCGACGATCATTCTCTCTCTCTTTCTCTCTCTCTCTCTACCGCGTTTCATTTCCTCTCGCTACTTTTATTCCTTCGCATCCACGAGATCGAGAACTGCACCTCGGTCGTAGTTGGTTTCACCGTACCGAAATTTGCCTTTGCCCCGACGCGACGTGTCCTTGACGATGTCCTTAGAGCGGGAAATTTTAGACGAAACCTAACTTAGACGGTGCTGCGCGGATCTTTCATTTTGTTCTGAAATTCTTCGGTTGGAATAATTTCTTTTTTTTTCTTCTTTTTTTTTTGTAGAAAATATTCCTCGTGACTAAAGGTTGAAAATGGCCTAGCACGTATTCGGGCTTATAAGTCCGTAATTTATAGTCATTTGAATTTTATATTGCGGGATAATTTAATTGCTTGTGTCGGTTTTTTTCAAAACATTGCACGGACACTTTAATTATCTTTTGAAAATTTATGAACTATCACGGGGCTTGGTAAATAATTGTGCAGCATTAAAAATCAACAAAAAAAAAAATAAAAAAAAAAATAAAAATAGAAAGATAAGGTAAGTTTTTGAAATGTCGAAGAATATTTTTTAATTTCTTCTTTATTATGGGAACTTGACGCTTGTTTGAAAATTTCTTAGAAAATATTCGTAATAAACTCGACTTTTTCAACAACCGTATATGTAATATCTACAAGTTTTTATCGAAGATGTCGATTGCGTATTTTTTGTCGCCCTCCTAACGCCCGTAACGTGGCTTCTTTCTTTCATCGAAAGAAAAAAAAAAAAAGAATTCATTCCCTCGGAGAAAGGTCAACCGACCCAGTTCACCCAGTAAACGCGGTTCACCTAACTTCCTATTAACCTGTTAACCGAAGAAGACGAGTTACTCTTTCGTCTTCGAAAACGTTATATTCCCCTAACGCGTAATCAAAGTTAATTATCGAAGTCAAAATCACAATTTGCATTTTTCCTTTTTGCAAATAAAACTCACAGTGTGTCGAAAACTCCGGTGTGTAGCGTGGCAACACGTCCAGCAACCGATTCCGATAATTACTCCCGACGTTTACAAAATTTCTATTTGCCCAAGCTTCGATAATTTTCCAAGCAAACGATTTATTTGTTCGTTCGTTTAAAGAGAATGGAGCTAGGCTCGTATATCACAGCGAGTTCCCTTCGTGTTAAAATCGCGTACGCGTCGTAGCTCACGTCGAATTGGCGGCACGGGAGGGCGTTTTGTCTCAAGGAATTACCCGCTTAACAGGTTCAAAGCGGGCACGAGTCGGCCGCCCGTAGGTGTCTGCGTGAAAAGTGCGTCGGTATTATTCACCGATAACCAAACGCTATCTCTCCTCCCCTCCCCTCCTCTCTTCCATCACGCAACTCTCCCCTGGATCGGATTGTACCCCGCACACGGCCACCGAGCTGCTCGGGAGAATAAAAAAAATGTGGGTAACCTTGCATTTTTTTATCATACCTTTTTTTTCTCTCCTTTTCTTTCTTTCTTTTTCTTTTTTTTTTTCCACGCGACGAAGCGGGTCCCCGTGGCCCGTGCACTTTGCATACCGAATGCGACAACCTCCTCTTCCCCGATACCCTTTGCCAGTCTCGCTATCCTATGGTACAGTCTATACGATCCACGATTCGTCTCTCTCTTACTCTCTTCTCTTCTCTTCCTCTTTTCCTTTTTTTCATCACGCCAATTTATTCCATTTATGAATACGTTTATTACGTTGCATCGCGACCACCTGACGCGAGAAAGAAATTCGGGCCGTGTGTGTGGCCAGGACCACGTGCTGTCACCACGGATAAACGTCGATCGCGATCGCGCTTCCTTTCATCTCGATTCAATTAGACGGAACGCCCC